TATTTTTTCTTTCTCTCTTATGTGTTCACTCCAACAATTTTAATTGATATGGCAATTGGGTTGATTTGATATGCAATAACTGTACTGTAATACCCCAAGCGAGTGATGTTTCAAAGAAGACAGTTTCTTGTTTTTATTATAGCCTGATGACAGTTAATGAGTACTGAGCTTGTGCTTTATGTTTTTCTATGTAAACGTGCTAGACAACAGTTGTGCTTGTGTCTTTTTGTGTCTTGTATGACAGCTGCATTTTGCAAGTTCAACTTTTAGAAAACACGTCTCATAACTCTTGCATATTTTTTTTTTTCATTTTGCTGCCGTGTCCCACGATTTTGGATGCATTCTGTGAACATCCCCTCAAACAGTCCCAAATTTGCAAACGTGCTGTCATTTTGAATATCAGAATAGGTAATAGGCTGCAGGAATTTTGACATTAAGATAAACTAGTGCAATGCCCGTGCAAAATCAGTTTTTAGTATTTGTTGGTTTGATATGTTTGAGTTGCTTAATAGCCTAGGCTACTATTACACAGGAGTCTAAACTCTGAGAAAACGATAACGTTAAGCGCACCAGAATAAAATATAATATTCAGAATGAAACTTACAGATTCAGTTAAATCACTACTTTTTAAAAAAAGAATCGCTACTTTTTTTTAAATGAATCGCTACTTTTTAAAAAATGAGTTGCTACTTTTTCATAGTTCTATACATAGTTTTTCATATTCTATACATAGTTTTTTAAACTATGTAGGCTATAGTTACATTGTAATAAACGTATAATTACATTGTAATAAAAGGTACAAGGATTTCTGCAGTAAAATATCCAAAAACCACTAAGGCCAATGTTATATATTTTCAGTTGATTACTTACAATATCCCCAATGTTTCCAACTATTTGTAAATCGTGAGAAAATTGCGATTTTAACCAAGGAAATGGGACGTGTGAGCAGGGGTGAGGAGTCGCCAGTAAATGGCGTCATATCCGCGTTACCCTCGGTTTCCGCTCGTACTGCCATAGTAACCATGGCGACAGACGTGGACAACTGGGTTATGCTTAGCAGGAAGCACATGCTGTTGTTGTTTGGTTCAAACATTATGGACCATGGCAAGCAGACTTTGAGACAAAAAGAGGACTAAAACGAAGATCAAAATCTTTTAAGATGCCGAGAGCTCCACGTCCGCGACTAACTTCGACTTGACAGAGACGCAAGTGTTGCGTATACTTTATTAGACAGGTGAGCAAATGTACATAAAACTAATCAATGTTATTTAGTTCAACATGATGAAATGTTATAATATGATCTGTATGTTATTCTAATGTTGATCTAGCTTACTGTTAGTCTCATATAGCCAGCAAACAACCTAACTAACAACATTCAACACACTCAAATCCCGTTTAGTGTGATAGTGTAACTGTTAGAGCAAGTGAAACAGCGCTGCGTTACCTCAAGTTTAATTCGTCTAATAAACTGACCTGTGTGAGTATTAATTCAGCACTTGCGTGTTCGGTAGAATGAAATGTCCTTATTCCTTTATATCCGCGGGACTCGCGTTGCGTGTAGCGCTGGTATATGTCTCTCATTAGCAATCGCGCCCTGCTTCATACCACAGTCATGTTAAAAACATAAATGTATTCACTCATCCATAAAAGATCCATCAGTTTGATGACAAGATCCATAATTCCGCTTAATGCTTTACGTCATCGATATACGCCTTTGTTATTGTAAGAGGTTAGCGACCCATGGTGGCGAAAAATCCTACATATTGAAACTTTAAATGTATAATTACATTGTAATAAATGTATAATAAGACTGTAACAAATGTATAATTAAAAATTTTTACACTACTTTTTTCAAAAAGAATCGCTACTTTTTTCAAAAAGAATCGCTACTTTTTCCAAAAAGAATCACTACTTGTAATAAATGTATAATAAGACTGTAACAAATGTATAATTACATTTTTTACACTACTTTTTCAAAAAAGAATCGCTACTTTTTCAAAAAAGAATCGCTACTTTTTCAAAAAAGAATCGCTACTTTTTCAAAAAAGAATCGCTACTTTTTCAAAAAGAATCGCTACTTTTCAAAATGAATCGCTACTTTAAAAAAAAAAAGAATCGCTACTTTTTCAAAAAGAATCACTACTTTTTTCAAAAAGAACAGCTACTTTTTCAAAAAGAATCGCTACTTTTCCCAAAAAGAATCGCTACTTTTTCAAAAAGAATCGCTACTTTTCAAAACGAATCGCTACTTTAAAAAAAAAGAATCGCTACTTTTTCAAAAAGAATCGCTACTTTTTCAAAAAGAATCACTACTTTTTTCAAAAAGAATCACTACTTTTTTCAAAAAGAACAGCTACTTTTTCAAAAAGAATCGCAACTTTTTCCAAAAAGAATCGCAACTTTTTCCAAAAAGAATCGCTACTTTTCAAAAAGAATCGCTTTTTCCAAAAAGAATGGCTACTTTTTCAAAAAGAATCGCTACTTTTCCCAAAAAGAATGGCTACTCTTTTAAAATGAATGGCTACTTTTTCAAAAAGAATTGCTACTTTTCCCAAAAAGAATGGCTACTCTTTCAAAAAGAATCACTACTCTTTCAAAAAGAATTGCTACTTTTCCAAAAAGAATTGCTACTTTTTTCAAAAAGAATCGCTACTTTTCAAGAAGAATCACTACTTTTTGAAAAAGAATCGCTACTTTTTGAAAAAGAATCGCTACTTTTTAAAAAAGAATAGCTACTTTTTTTAAAAGAATAATGTAACAAAATAATAATGTAACAAATGTATAATAACACTGTAATAAATGTATAATTACATTGTAATAAACGTATAATTACATTGTAATAAATGTATAATAACACTGTAATGTATAATTACATTGTAATAAATGCATAATAACACTATAATAAATATATAATTACATTGTAATAAATGTATAATAACAACCTTGAAAAGAATCGCTACATTTGTCAAAAAGAATCACTACTTTTTTACTTCAGAAGTAAACAGTGTAGCTGACTTAATGTTTAGCTGACAGAATGTTTATATTTAAACCACAATTTTAAAACCACAACCCTCTCTAATGTCAGAATGTTTATTATTAAACCACAACTTCAATGTGTGCTTCTTTTACCAATATATTTAACGATATCTTTTGCATTACTAATCCAAACAACGTCAAACTCTGCACTGCACTCACTTGTGCCCGTAGCAAGACACCTGTCAAGTTTGAAATCCATCGGACTAAAGGTTCGAGAGATATGCGATTAACAGACAGACAGACAAGACAAGACAGACAGACATTCCTGTAATTTATAGATAGAAGATATTGATTTGTTAGTATTGAATTACTTATATTTTACACACAATATTGCCAGTTACTTTTGCTCTGCCAAAGAAATAGTTCCAAAAAAGTCAACACAGAAACAGTCGTCGTGTTTTAGAGCAAGTGGTGTTTTGTTCTTAAAAAAATAAAAGTTTGAAAAATCCTCACCAGTATGCTGACTGACAGCTTGTCTGGAGCACAAAAACCAAATTTTCTTGTCATTCATTTTGTATTAATATTTCATAATTAATAACCAAATTTAACAGGGCTTGAAACATGTTACATGCATATGGGACTGGTAGTCAGGGCATAGTAGCATGAATTTGAACAGATTTTGTCTAAAATTGATAATGTGGGCTCAGCCCCTGATATTGGCAACAACAAAAAAATCCACAAATTTTTTCCACTTACAGACCTGTAGGGGTTAGGGTTTGGCATCCAGGTCAGACTCAAACCTGCAGGGTCTCCATGTGAGCCAACATGTGCTGAGCATGTGCACAGCTCACTGCTTCACAGACTACAACTAGTTTTTTATAAGTCCAAGGCTGCATCCGAAATCACATACTCTCTTGAGTAGGCCTACTCATTTTGAATAAGTAATTACTTCACGACCGCTAAAAAAGTATGTTCTATTTAATATGAATGTGTATGAATGTAATCTGGACTACATTTGCCATGTTGTCAGTTACGCTGACATACACAAATCCTCTCCCGTGGCCTCATGGGATAGTAAAGTGTCCATATGCGCACTTCAGAATCCCTCCGGAAGCAGTAGGTCATCCAGGTACTTTTTGCCAACTCTTTTATGAGTACTGGCAATTCGGATAGGCCTATACTTCTTTTGTCACATACTGTTTTTTGCCTACTATAGTAGGGAAGTATGCGATTTCGGAGGCAGCCCAAGTGTCAGTGATATGTTATAGCTTTCACTCCTAACTGGGTTTCTCAGTGTGGAAAATGGTGAGTGTAAAAACCTGAACTGGAGTAGAATGATTACTGATTGCTTTGAGGGGGGGAGGAAAAATCACTATCACTCCACTACTCCACTTATATACGCTGTTCCAGACCAGCTTTCAGTCTGTGTGTTGCTTGGTAGCTTCTCAAAGCTTGACACTTTGGCTATTTTCTGACTATTTTTGTTTACAGCAGAATAAGAACTGACTGGTCAATTTTTCTTTTTGTTTTGTCTAAAACATGTTATTGGATATAAATTGTGGAACTGTTAAAAACAATATCACACTTATAGGCCTAGTCACAGGTGATTATTTTGAATGTAAATTTGATGACCACATTAAATTCATGGAGAAAATTGAAACTGCCCATGTTTCCTATTAATGTCACAATCCATCCAGTAGTTTGGATAGTTTGTAACAACAGCACTCTCTATACTTTCCATTAATTTACACAGTTTATAGTAAACTACTTTGAGCTGTAGCACTTAGATATGAAAAATGCACATATAATTTGGAGACATATAGCGCAAACAACAACAACACTGAATTACAGACGAAAAACAAAATGTGTTCTTTCTAATGCAATTACATTGTAATTAACGTGTTCATGCATTTAATTCTATTATATTAACTCAACGAAAAAAATCAGTAATCGCAAGGGTTCATATATTTCAGGCTTGGTTTAACAGACATAACCCTGCATTGACTGTGACAGTGTGGGGAGTTAGACTGCAGCGCTGATCATTGTGCCTCACACTTTCAAACTCGTCATTTCACAACACTGAGGCGAGGAAACGAGCCAGCGCTATCAACACTGCTGCCCCGAGGGCTCTTCCTACTCAAGTCCTGAGAGCCACAGAGGAACCTGGGAATACCACTGCAAAATGAAGAACACTATCGATTCGAAAACATTTACGAGCTTCTCTTTTTTATCGTTTGTGCCTCGGTAAACTGGTTGACGGATCATACCTTTATTTCCAGATCACGGCGATGAAAATAACATCAGACACCGCAGCGTTGAGATAAAGACCGATCTTGCCTTTAAAATTATCGGAACAGGGGACATCATGCAAGGACGACAGCAGAGCTTCACTGCGAGTTTTACATCGGTGTATAGCCTTAAATAAAAAGAATCGTAGGCTATTAGGCTACTGATAAAAAGCACGACTGCACGCGCTTCAGTCGCAGACCCATCCCGGTTCCGCAAAGAAACTCAACCCAAAAGTGTGGAAGAGCTCCATGCATTCAAAAAGGTGGGTTCCCGGTGATTTCTTGACAAATAACTTTTACAATTATTTTTTAATATTCTGCAATGGTTAGTTTATGTGAAGACCTCCTCTTATAAACGGTATAGCCAATATATCGCCAGCATTTTTTTAAGTCTAAATCACATTGTAGCCCATGTGTTTTGGCTTCAAAAATAGTCTAAAAAGTAGCCTAACGATTGTATTTTTTCATTAATTAGAATAGAAGAAAATAAAAACGCGGTTTTTAGATGTCAAGCTATTACTAATGAATGTTCTTCTGCTCTAACTCTAAATTTGAATATTTTAGCATCTGCCGCGCTAGAAATTATCCACACGCTTTTGATGATCAATTAAACTCACAAATTGTTAGACTACATCGGTGCTGGGTTGGGTTCACAACATCATCTGTATCTTCTCATTAAAGATAACGTACCATAATGCCATATTTTGGCTTTTATGTAGCCTACCTACATTCAAGTTATTTTCTCTAATCTGAAATGAAAACAGGCATCACTATTACAGTTAAACTGTAAATATGCATGAGGAGGACGCATCTCTCTGGAGATATCATTCATTCTCAACCACTGTGCAAGCGCCATCTATTGGACTGCAACAGCTGACCACTAAAAACACAACCATTACATATCTACATCCCTCTTCTTCTAGAACCTTTCAATTACCTTGACCTGCCAAGATCTGACTATTATGTTCAGATTGCTTAAATAATTAGCTTTTATACTTTATAGATGGGAAGCATCCTTCATGTTCACACAAATAAAAATATTAGTCCTATAAGATTACGTATATTATAGGGTGAATTCAGGTTGCTTGGGGCACTTTCAATAATTCACATTTCAGCAGTGCATCTTACGATTGACAATGGTTAATTTGTCTGGGAGTCTGAAATATGAGGGAAATGCAGTGACATGAAGCTTGTTATTATTAACTGGTGTTATATCACATATTGGTTTAGATGTTTTGAAAGCCCTGGGTATTGATGACAGTGATGTATGATGATGCTTAGGTGGATGCATTTATGTTGACAGAGACAGACCACTATATAAAAGGTGATCATACATTCATGTGCTGTTGCAGTTTAGTTGTGGTGGTATAGGGCGTCTCTTCCATTTTGACAGAAGCTTCTGTCCCTTCTGTTTACTATAATCAGTCTGCTATTTGTCTTATAAGGCATATATTCCCAATGCAATAAAAAAAAAACGGATTCTCTCTTTTGTATTTAAATGAGCCTTTAACATAGGGGTTTCTAATCCTGCTCTTGAGGGTCACTGTCCTGCAGAGTTTAGTTCCAACCTCAATTAAACAGACCTGAACCAAGGTAATCAAGGTCTTCAGGATTACGAGAATCTTCCAGGGAGGTATGTTGAGACAAGTTGGAGCTATACTCATGTTGGCCCTTCACTAAAAAAACAAACTGTAAAAAAAATCATAAAAAAATTAATTAGGCTACATAAATAAATGAAAGTTTTTTTAGTAGTAATAAAGTTACTGTTAAAATAAAATTTACAGTTAGCCTATATGTGTGGGAAAACATGCAGAGCCCTATTTTGACAAAACAAATTGGGCTCTTTTCCCATGACAACTTACATGTTGAAATATTGTGATTATATTTTATATGAGAAAGCCATTTTAATTATTAGCTTAATTGTGGATATATTAACAATAGATTATTTGATTATAATGTACACTAAACATGGTTAAACAGCATTGGTCATGTATTAAAGAGTAACAAGTATAATGTGTTCACTTTCTTGAGTAGGCATACATGGCAAACGGGTAAAGTACCTTTCAAAGCACAGGCGTAATTTGAAACTATTGAGGGGTTGGTGGAGAAACAGTGACTTCTTATTGGTGCACTTCGCAGTGTAGGCTGCGCCCTCTTGACACTAGCAAACTCGAAGATCGATGGCACGTTTCTAGCGAGGGTTGGGAATGTGTGAACACGGAGAATACCTGACAAAAGCAGTGATATTTGTACGAGGGAAAAGGCGTGGGGCATGATTTCGGGGTGTTGCGTTTCTTCGGCAACTTCTACTCAAACGGAAAGTTGCAGCATTGCTCTAATTCGCATTTCTTTACATTGCTGGTGTGAATAGGGAGAGGAGAGGAGCGCTGTCCCGTGCTGGATGGATGGTTATGGGGAAAGGAGCAGGACCATCGGCGCTACAAGTCTGCCAATTCCTTGTTCTGTTTCTCTGTTTGTTTCCAGCAGGTAAGAAAAAAAAAACATTTATCTTTTTCTTTTTTTTTTTAACACTGGAAATGTGTTTCTTGGAATTTTAACTGTCGAAGTAATTATGCAACCTAGGTTAATTAATTATAATCGCTACAAAAAAACAACAAAAAAACACTTTGAGCAGTTAAATGTTGAAATGACGCCGACAAACGTATGCTTTGTTACTTAGCAGTTGGGTGTATTTTGTTTAGTCATGACCCAGTTACGTCTGGTGAAAGTTATCTATCTTCTCAGTGTACATTCCTTCATAATGTACGCTTGAGTAATGTTGTTGTTTATAACTTTCAAGTTTGCACGACTCGTGCATTTAAAATCACGGTGCTAAACCTTTTCGCATTGAAAAGATGCGATAAAACAAATGTGGGTGCAAAGCAAGAATGATGTTGTTTTATAGCCATTGTTTAAACCGGTCGATTAAAGCGTAAGGTTCGGTTTGATTCTGCTGCACTACTAGTACCGCAGTGTTTCCCACAGCTCTGGCGGGGACGTGCTGTTGTGTTTGGGGGAGGGGAAGCGAACCCTCCACATCTATGCCTTCGCACGACTTGTTGCGGCAAAATGTCCAAAAACGATTTCACAGTAAAGTCTTTTAACACCGTTTTTAGCATAGTAAAGCATGGTTTTTAAATGCAACAAAAATCTAAACATGCCATTTTAATAGGTGTAAGGTTAAATTCACTCAAAAATTAGTCTGCATTTACAGTACAGTAAATACTGGGTAGTACTAGCTACATGGACTTCACAGTGAACGGTAGTAGGAAAATACCGAAAATTGTAGTGTTGTGCTGTAGAATCACAGACATTATCACTGTCTACACTACAGACTTGTGTTTACAGATTAGCTGCAATATTTTCATGTCCACAGTGCCATTCTGACATTTAAGTTCCCAGCCTATACTGTACTGAATTATGTAGTTGCTGTCACTTTAAGTTACTTGTTTTGTAATGTTCAGTGTTTTATCTAAAAATATTTATTGTCATCATTATTGAGATTTTTCTATAAAGAGTATTGATGTGCATATTTAGTTGACAACCTCTAATATCACAAGTTTACCAGAGATCATAACCACTCAGATCACCACAATATTGCAAATACCTTCCCCTTAATTGGTGTATATAGTAACATACAATCAATATGATAGTAATATCATATGAGATTAAAAGATCAATTACCTAGCCTGCATTGATTTTACAGTAAAATTCTGAATACAACATTTTTTCAAGGAAATTACTGCTCATAAAATCCTGGCATGTTTACAATGTAGTATAAGAAGAAAAATCTAATGTGTGTAGAAGAATGTAGGCACTCTCGCATGATTATGGGTCAGCTGTGTTTTCCAAATGTGATAATTCATTTCTGTATATCTCATTACAATGGAATTTACAAGTGTTGTTTTTATCTGTCAAGGTTCTAGTCAGTTGTAAGTAGTGTTCAGTTTGATTTCAGACCCAGTGTTCCATCTTCTTTCATATTATTTAACGGCAAACAAAAGACAATCATGCAAGCGTTAGTCACTAACATCTTAAATTAGCCTATTGTCTCTTATCAGATGGTCATAAATGCCCTTTATAGCTGGTAGGTGAAAGACAGGTTTGTGACTGAGACAACAAAGATTGGTGCATGATCATTTGGAAACAAAGATGTGTGTAGTTTTGGCATTTCTTTGTATTTTATTAAAACGAAAGAGATAATCTTTAAATAATGAAAAAACACATGATTCTAAAGCCTTCGGATTTCAATTCAACTATGTAATTCGAGAAAGGGGAATGTGCTTGAAATTGCTTTTGCCTTTGATTACGACCTTTTGCTCTGGACAGGTGGCTATCTCATATCCAGTTTGACCTGTGGAATGGTGAGACCTTCTCTGTGTTCCACCCATTGGTCCTGGAGCCAGTTTCTCTCCAGAGATCCTGTTTCTTTAAGGCTGTCCTCAGCCCCCTTTCCCTCCTGCCCTGCATGGCTGATGAAACTCTACCTAATCCCTTTACACAGGGCTAATTTATGACTCTGCTGGTTTCTTCTCAATGGCAAATTGCATTGTCTTCATTCAGAGTCCTAGGACTACACCCTCCCACACACACACACACACACACACACACACACACACACACACACACACACACACACACACACACACACACACACACACACACACACACACACACACACACACACACACACACACACACACACACACACTCACAGCTACCCCCTTCTGTTAAAGCCCTAAGTGATTTTTTTTCAGATGTGCATTTGCCCTCGGTCACTGACACCCATGGTGCATTACTGAAAAGCACCCCCACAATCTGCTTAGCAATGCAAAGAGACAGCACAAGGTGTGAATGAGTGTGAATTTGATATGAGATGATTAGCACTTCTAAATAATAGACTTTTGTTGGTGTGAATGTCAGTTTGAAGGCTTCCTTCCAGTTTGTCTTAATGCTATTAATTTGTGTTGCACCTTAAACTGTGTGAAATTGCTAGATATCCAACAGGGAGCTTAATCAGCATTTTTTGATAAAGTATATCCCGTTTACTAATATAAAGTGATGTCATTCATGGTGAGGTAATGAAGTTAGATAAGCCTGTCGAGAGTTCATTACATTGTAACGATGCCTATTTAGATGCTTATTGCTTTACTTTTTGTATTACAATAGCTCTTAAGTGTTGAGCTTTTCTCCCCTGTGATATATACACATAATAAGAATATTCCATTAACATTTTGAATTTCACATAAAATCAAGAATTGTTGATTCTAATGTTGCCTATTCTAATGTTTATGTTTCATTTATTTTTTAAAAAGGCAACAAGACAACAATAGCCTTGCTTTATACTACATTTAGAGCACTTAGACTTGATGGAAGTTGGCAAAACGCAGAAACTTGGAACTTGGTTGGAATGTTGTTTTCTTTTTATTACTGATGGAATTAAAGCCTCACTTTGTCCAGATGTAGAGAGAATTCATGTGTTGTTATGAGGGCCTTGAGCAACTGGCATTCATGAACATAACATAATAAACTAAACTAAACTAAACTTAATTTAAAGGTTAGTCCTGAAATAATTGAAATAAAAAGTATTACTATATATGAAATGTGAATAAAAAGTGAAGACACTAAAATAGGAAACAGAAACAGGCTATTCTTGATTAAAAAGATAATGGCGTTTGTTTATAATCAGTATAAAAGCTTAATCAGTTTTGTCAGCTACTTTGGTTGATGCTTATTTCATTTCAGCTTTGTGTAAACTTGGTTTGACCATGCCAGTGTGTTTATGCTATCTCCCTTTTGCTTTACAGCAACTCTGCAGTGTAAGATCCTCAAGTGTAACTCCGAGTTCTGGGCCTCCACCTCCAGATCTGGCCCAGAAGAGGATCCCTGCACGGCTCTGCGAGCATACAACAACTGCGTCCGTCGCACCGCCCGTAACTGTCGAGGTGACCTGGCCTACCATTCAGCCCAACATGGTATAGAGGATCTCATGAGCCAACACAACTGCTCCAAAGAAGGGCCCACAACCCAGCCTCGTGCCCGCACACCCCTGCCCCCAGTACAGCCACCACCCCAACCGGACATCCACGTTCCCTCTGATGGGCCAGAGGTGTGCCATTATGAGCGGAGTCTACCACGCGATGCTGCGCCTCCCAATTACACTCATTGCGGCTTTTTTGGGGACCCACATCTCCGCACATTTAACGATGACTTTCAAACCTGTAAAGTTGAGGGAGCCTGGCCACTGATTCACAATAAGTACCTGTCTGTGCAGGTTACGAACACTCCTGTTGTGCCTGGATCTTCTGCTACGGCTACTAGCAAGGTATGGATGCTTTGTGCCTCATATAAATAAGCAAAAGTCATTTTTAGCATCATTCCGTCGTCTCATTTCACCAGCTGCTTTTCAACTAGCTCGACCTATAAGGAACTTTTTTTCAGCAAGGAACTAGTTAATGGTGAAAGTGTGTTTTTACCAGTGGGAAGAGAAAGCCGAATTCTTAAGTGCAGAGTCTAGTTAGCATTTGGATCTGTTCCACAACAGATGAAGATGTGATAAGAGGAACAACTGATGAAAGTCTGATTAATGATTTTTAAAGGAATGTCAGCAACAAAAGAGAGGTAACAACTTGGAATGTTACCAGGCTCAAGAGCCTTATTTATTTATTTATTTATTTTGTTGACTAATGTTACTATATCTGTGGCAGTCCTTGCCATTATTTGTGTGTGATTTAAGAGTTTTGTTGTTTTAACTAAGTGCTCAGTCCATACAGGAAACTGCTGATATTTTCTCTGCATTAGTTGGTCCTCATACCTCATAAATTATCATTGTTTTGCTTTACGGCTCATTGGACAAACTGGGAAGCTGCCTTAGAATTGGCCAGCTGTGGAGCCTAAGGTGAAAGCACAGGACTACAAGTTTATGTCTGATGTCCTTTTGGCTGCAGTCATTTTGTGACCAGGGTTAAATGTTTTTCAGAGTTTTTCCTCTGCAGAAAAACACAAGTACTTTGTACTCAGTCACATGAAGAAACAGAGCAATTTTCTGCCATCAAAAACCTCTAATGATTCCCCATTAAGTAGAAAGACCCACAGTTCATTCTTGTAGGAAGGGAAGGGATCATGATATTTTTGTTAAGTTGGCTGTTTTTTAATGAAATGACAGTGGCTCAGAGACAAAAGCGAATATGCAAACTAGACATACCTATAGCTTTAAACAAGCTCTTGCTGTCCTGAGAAAATCAAGCCTTGGTTGGGTGCTGTTAACAGGGGGCAGATCACTGCACCATTAGGGATTATAGGGCGGTTTGGCTAAACTGAGTCTCCACTCGGACGTAGACACACTCATATGCATCATTTGCAAGATCAGAGCAGCCTGGACGTCCCGAGGTCACACATGTGTCAGCAGTCCATTGGCCCCCTAATGGCAGCTCGCTGGAGGAGTCAGAGGTAGGAGCAGCCTTCTCTAATTAGCCCATGTGCAGGCTGTGCTCTCTAGCTGGCGCAAGTCCACTCCCTGGAGCTGAATCCGGGGTTCACAGGCAGGCTCTGAGCAGCATGAATGGATTGTCTTTGTGTCTGCATACTGAGGCCTGCTGTAACATAGACTGGACCTGTGTTTCTCCAGAGTGCGTTTACATTGGCCCCCTGTATCTTGAGCTGCTGCTGAAATGTGACATTACGAAAGCTTCTGGGCTTGGAGGGTCTGCACTACACAGTCCTCTGGTTTTATAAAGACAAGGCTCAGTTATGCAGAATAGAGTAGTGACCATCTTTTGTTTTAGTGCATAAAACACTGTCTGGCTGCTGTTTGTCACCTGGTTTTGATTGAACAAATATAGCATTTTAAAATCTGCACACTTTATTTGTTAGCTATTTTTCTCTAGAATCTGATCCTGGTGTTAACTAGCACAGATGATGCAATTCAGTTAATATTTGTTTTCTGTTCCCGGTGTTTTAATCTATGTATGTCCAAAATAATAATTAATCTTAATATGGCACAATTTAAATAAACTTATCAATGATTTGTTCTCACTCTCACTTCTTTGCCACAGTTAACAATCATCTTCAAGAACTTCCAAGAATGTGTAGACCAGAAGACGTACCATGCTGAAACTGACGAGCTTCCAGCTGCATTTGCTGATGGTTCAAAGAATGGAGGGGACCGCCATGGGGCCAACACCCTGCGTGTGGTAGAGAAGGTGCCCGGACAACACGTGGAGATCCAGGCACGCTATATTGGCACCACTATTGTAGTTCGGCAAGTTGGCCGCTACCTCACCTTTGCGGTGCGGATGCCAGAGGAGGTTGTGAATTCGGTGGAGGACCAGGACAACCAGGATCTTTACCTCTGCCTGCATGGTTGCCCTGCCAACCAGCGAATAGACTTCAGGACCTTCAGAGCGCGGGCAGCAGAGAGCCACGGCTTAGGCAGGGGACGGCCAGGCAGTCCTAACCCTGGCTTCACTTATCAGTCAGCCATGGCCAAGTGCAAAGAACGTCTACCAGTGGAGGATTTGTACTTCCAATCCTGTGTTTTTGACCTTCTATCTTCTGGGGACATTAACTTCACCCTGGCGGCCTACTATGCCTTTGAGGATGTTAAAATGCTCCACTCCAACAAAGACAAATACCACCTCTTTGAAAAGGATACAATATTCAACTCTGCCTCCGAAAAATTCGGTTTTAGTTTCCTAGTCCTCATCAGCCTCGTTGTCGTACAGTTATGGACTGACTCGTGTTCCATTTGTCTGTAGTCCCCATTGGACATTCTTGTTAGATGGTTGTAAGAAGCTGTATGCATGTGAAATGCTACTCTCACTGTGTTGTCTTCCATCTACCAGAGGCTGGGCTTCTCAGCTAGAGCCCGAGCTTCTGCTGAGGGCTTTCACACTTGTGTGTCTTGTATCACGCCATGGACTCATCTCTTATCATCACGTATGTTCATTCATAAGGCCAGAGCCGAAGCGTTCCTAGAGAGACCAGCCATCTCTGCTGATCTCATAACTGCTCAATGACAGAGAAGGCAGTGCTGAGAGGGCCTAAGACTCAGGTCAGATGAAACCATCCTTGCTCTCACCAGAGTGACGCGCCACTGACAGGAGTGAGAGACGGATGATCCTTTGCAGAAAGAAGAGTTTGGAGATGGTCTTCAGTTCACTTGATGCCAAGTGAGAGGTGAAGTATGTCTCCCGGAGCCAGGTTGAAGGACATGACAGGAGCTTTTATTAACGTCTCCAAACAATGGAGGGCCAGCAGGAGTTCTTTCTTTGAAGAAGCTCCAGATTTGGAAAAAGTAGCTTTCTAGTGAAAGCCCCCTGGCCAAGGCCATGTCAGACTAGTAAGTCGTGTTGTCTACAGAGAAGATTAATAGGCCATAACATCAGGCCTTTTGTATAGTTTGTCTATGTGTGTGCAAGAGAAAGATGTGTTATTGTGTGGGTGATTATATGAATGCTTGTGAGTGTGTGTGTGTGTGTGTGAAGTGTTTCATAATAGCTGTATATTGCACCCAGGGTCCTAATGTAGCTCTGGTGTGGTGGTTCATGGGTCAGTAAGAAGTTTTACTGCCTGCCAAGAGCTCTTTCCTACATTTTAAATATAAAAAGGGGTGTCAAGCAGACTTTAAACTACACTCCATACTGCTTAGGTGTTATAATTTTGAAAAATATTTATTGAATTCACTCCATTGTCAAATTGGGTGTTCGAATTCAGCCTGAACACATTTTCAGGCACATTGAGAATAACTTTACTTTATTCACAAAGTAAATGCCATCGAGTCAAGAAAAAAAAAAAAATTCAAGCCATACAATGGTGTGGCCCAAGACAGAGTTGTCTTTGAAAATAGCACAATTGCTTCAGATAAACATTTTTTATGGAAAAAAATATTCATGTCATTTTGCAGTAGGTAACAATCAACATATATCCAGGAGAGAGCCAAGTTTCTCCATACAATATTTGCAGTTCGAGACGGGACCCACAAGGCAGATCCATCAATCATCCTTTCTGTTTCTTAAAGAGCAACGCCTTGCTCTCCATTTCAAAAGGGTGTCGACGTGGCTGTGCTGTAGGCCCCGTTTAACTCACGACTCTGTAGATCTGTGAATTTATGGCGAAGGCGTTTTGCCAAAGAACAAGCCATGGTGCCAACAATTTCCCAAACAGCTGAATTTTCTCTTTCTCATGGGGCCTTTGTGGTTCACTTAAGTATGTAGGCTCAGACCAGATGTCCTGATTGTGTCTAACATTGGAAGGTGCTGCTAACTACAGTGTGGTGGATGGACCAGTGCAGGAGCTATTGTTTTCATCTGCCATGCACTTCTTGTGACATTTGAAATGAGGGCATTCGCTCTCCAGCTATTAGCAGGCTCAGGATTACTGGCAACTCAGTATTGTAAATAGCTGTAGTAGTATTGGCGAGCTAAAGTCACACGATGCATAGCACCACTATTTTGAAGAGTGAAACTGCACCCTTGATGGCGTAATTATTTCATAGGCCATGTTTAGGGACTGTTGGAAAGGTCTTTGTGGAAGATGAAGTTCACATAACATCATCATGCCATCTGTCACAGTTGTCTCTTACCAGTGTTTGATTTCTCTTAGTAAAAAGTTTGAACTTTGAAAGTATGGTTTAGATGTTAATTATTAATAAAGAATCCTTTGAGAGACTTCACAGTAATTTATTCTTACACTGTAAAGTTTTGCGAGCCTTACTACTGCTAAGAAAGCTTGTGTTGGTGCAGTTCATGGCTTTAAAGAGACATTTGAAAGCATACAAAATGATTGTAATGACTTTTGTGTTGAAGTGTTCTTGTGTTGTCAGTGCTTTTTGGATTTATGTGTAATGTGACGTATATATATATATACGTTTGTGTGATTTGGCAAATAATATGTTGTGCTGTTTTTTTGGTACATCAGAGGGTGTAGTGAAATGTACCTTTATGTTTAAAGGGATATTGTGTACACACAAACACCACAAAAACAAGATGAGGGACTTAGTACGATCTAATTTGGAAAAAGAGTAAAAAGGAGACCACTTTCCTATAGTAACTAAATACTAGGTAGGAAACGTGTGACTTGCGGTGTTCATGTGTTGTTTATTACAAAAGCACTTTATGTTTTTATTCTCTTTAACCTAGCTCTTACATGGTTTTAACTTGATGGTGAAAAAGGTTATCAGACTTGTAACGCTAAAGAAAAGTGGATAACTTTTTCAAATGTATTAACATTGAATGGGAGATACCAGACAGCTTAGTCTGTTTTTGTTTGTAGGACTAAAGCGGTGCCACACACCACCTGTAAATACTGTAAATTATTTATTGAATAAAAAATAAAGTGTCATGTTGATTTGTTTTATTATGTGTGGGTTTTTGTATTCATGTTTCTTGTTTGAACTCATGTTTGACTATGGAAGTTACCACAGCACAGCATTAGGTTTTTAGTCCAAGTATGTTGGGCTAAGACTGCCACCTGATGGTATAATGGGTAAATGCTGAAACATTTTAGACTACAACGATGATGACAAATTAGTAGGCCTATCTACAGAGGACAATTCATTAATTTACCGTGTTTGAGCGCAATAAAACTGCTTAGCTTAAACAAATACTGAGCAGAAAGACTCAAAGATTTTTATAACAGGTTTCGTAACTAATTCAACAAATATGATTCTAAAACACGTGATTCGTGTAGATTCGAGGGACCTTACCAGCACAATAACTTTATATTTATTGCTTTTTTCGATTTAACTGTTGGAATTTTTCATTTTGATTTTAAAAAGTGCTGAAAAACGACAAAATGTTGTAGTGAAGTATGCCTCTCACCTCAGCAATCCCCGCCATTCCTCTGAGTGAGTAGCTATCCATACACGTGCTGCTCGAGTGAAGCGCGCGAAAAGCTGAGACAATTGTCTTATATTCAACATTATTGATCTGCCTGCATTGACGCCATTATATGATAAGTGAACTGAGCTGAGTTTTCTCCAGAGCGGCTGTTTAGATAAATTAACAAAATTACTAACTTTTAAACAACAGAAATTAACCATCACTGAACTCTTCTAAATATCCCCAGACAAACTTTGTTGCATTATTTTCCTGTTATCACTGTAAAGCTGCTTTGAATCAATCTGTATTGTAAAAAGCACAATATAGGTATAATATTAGGCAAAAACGTCGTTTTTTTTATTTACTTTAACCATTAAGATTGTCCTAAATCACATAATAATAATAATAAAAACGTTGTTAGAACTGCATAAATACCGCCGTAATTGACATTGTAGGTTCCATCAAGCTAGTTTTTATCGAATTTTATCTGAAGAAAAACAAAAACAAAGATTGTCCATGATGTAGGAAAGTTTAATACATATAGGTCTATAAACATATGTACAGTACAATTAATCTGAACAGTGGCTTTTCACAAATATAAATTACTTTAAATTGGCTTGTTTCAAAGCTTAACATGTCTGTGGAGTGTGAGCAGGAGCTTGGGTGGGAAAGATTTAACACATCTCAAGTATTTCATCGCAAACCTGTCCACATTTCACCAGCTTGTTCTCCTAGTCCTGCTACCATCATCTTTTGGAATTGAGCACACCACATTGTTCCACACTCACCAGAGCTGGCTTAACATGCACCTAGTTAAAATTCCATCCTGGCAAATGTTTTGAAATTGTACATAGCATAATACTGCACAGTACTGCTAGTCTTCCTTATATCAATCCGGTGTTTGAATCTACACAAGAATAAGGCACAGATGGAGAAACACATCAAATAAACAATGAATGGTATTTACCAGCATGCCAGTCTGTCAGTTTTGGCACAAAATCTGGTTCACCAAAAATAGCTTTTGACACCCGCCCAACTCCCTAAACACGCATCTGTCCATTCATACAGTACTCACATTTCCACTTAAAGGTCAACGGTATCAGTGTTTCAGCACACTCATACTGAGAAAACTCAACAAAACATGAAAATCAAATTCAGGTAATTGTCTACCATCACTACATAGTCAAAAACAAGCAAGTACTGTTCTTTTAGTGCAATAAAAAGTTGCAACAGTACAAGCACTGACCATAAAGTGGACTTGAGTGGCGCCAAGTGTTACAGTCGTAAGAAAATAAAGACAAAGATAGCTTACGTGTTATGATTATCTAGTGTTCTGACAAGGTCTACATAGACCCTGAATACTGTTCAGCCTTATTTTCTTCTTTTTTTAAACAAGGCTACTATCCTCCAACAGAGCATCTATGCATTACAATATTAACAAATGGCGGGTCTGCGATAGCGAAAACACATTTAGCTGATTCAATAATTTTGAGAAAAACTATTTGAATAATTGTTGCAGTTGTTGCTCATCACAAATACTCCTACATGATTATAACAAATATCAAAAGACAAAAACGTACATGTAATTCCCCCTCAAAATGACGTACAATCACAGGGGTCTGTATTGTAGAGAGCAAAACCAAACCGAATAGCTCAACAGAACAATGAATCAACATCTGAAGGTGCAATTAAAATGATTCCTTTTTTTCTCCTCCCACAAAGGCTACTTTCATGAAATAATCCTTTTTTGCACAAACCAAAATAACAAAAACAAAAAGACATGAACATCAAAGTAAAGTTTGCTTTGCGGATAGTCCCTTTCTACTAATGACTCTCAACAAAGACCAAATACATGAGGCACTTTCTAACTCAGGCATTCTTCAACAGCATAGTCCACAGGACTAACCATGCCTTGTTCTTTCTCCTCAGTCCAAAATGGCAGACTTAACCTTGTCATGAAACCTAGAAGAGAGCGGAGGACACAGTGGCGATAAAGAGGATTTTGGTGGTGGCTGGTTACGTCTCCTCCATTTATTGCCAGGGTGGCCTTTCTGCCACTTCCTTTGGCAGTACAGACCATCTCTGCACTACATATTCACTTCACGTCTTCCTGTTGTTCCAATTAAAGTCCGTCACAGGTTTCTGCTCTGCAGTTCTTTCCAAAGCAGGTGAGATCGGCTCAAGGGGGGATTTCTGAGACTGAGGGGAACGGGGGTCAATCAGGGGTGGGGGTTTGTCTGGGTGGAAGGGGCGGTAGTGATCAGGCCCCATGGGGCCATGGTTTCCAGGGGGGCTCCTGTGGTCAGGCATCCTTCTGAAGTCCTGTGGATGCCCCCCTCCCCCTTGGTGGTAGTTCGGGGAGCGGTACTCATCCGAACGCCTCCTCTTAGGGTCAGGATGTCTGAAAACAAAGATACATTTTAATGCTACAGCTCTACACGCAACAAGACAGTTTTGTACATGAGAACAGACATTTTTCATGCTGCCGTTAACAAACATATAGCTACACAATGTAACTTTTGGCCTTTGGTTGAAGCACAGCTACAGTTATAATGTTTTGGTCATTATGTGAGTTGTGGTGGACCACTGTGTGTTTACAGATGATCGCCCTTTCAGTGTGAATGTCACTAACAACATCAAAACTCCCCCAAAAGACAGACACCTAAAAAATATAATCTTGAGAGGAAGTAAGCAGCTTGTTTTGACTTGTTGAAATCATAATGATAGCTGTTCATATCAGATAACAGTAGAAACTAAAACTTGCCAAGACCAATAGACCAAATTGGTAACTATTTTAGAGAATGGCATTGTTACCAACATAAACATTGTTTTGTGAACCTATTCAATGC